CATCTCTAAATCTATTATGAGTGTTTTTTTCTTTTCCTATTCCCTAATTCATTTAAGTGCAGGGCCCACAAGCCAAAAAAAAAAAAAAAAAAAAACTTCTGAATGCTATTCAACAAATATGCAAAACTGGCATGTAAATATCATTCATGTATATACAATCTATGTATGTTGTTTATGCAAGTCCACAGAAAATAATAAAACTGGTGTCAAAAATTCAAAATTTAAAACAATGTTATTTGAACTTTACATGAACCACAGGCACAAGAAATAACACAAACAGCAACAAATTGAAAGACGAGCAGAAAGGAGCATGACCAAACCTGTAAATTTGAAGAATTAAAGGCACCAAGACGTCCCATAACATACCACGCCTGAATAACCTGCATGCATTTATTTCACAAAGTAAGTCTGAACCATTCATAAGTAATAAACTGTGGATACATAATGAAAATGAAATGAAGAAAATGATTCTGTTGTTCCTCCCTTTATTTAAAATGTGTAGAATTGTCAACTGGTAATTAGCGGAACAAAAGGAATCACAAGATGAAGGAGAATGCCAAACAACAAGCTTACACTGCCAAGAAGATCAACTTCCTGATCAGATGGTGATCCATATAACTCAAACCATATGTAAGAATCAAGGGGATTGAAACTGCAAGGACACATAAAAGGAAAAAACAAATTATGAAAACAAAAGGTTACATAGGTGCCAGTTAATTCCCATGAAAGAAAAAAAAAATCCCAAAAGCAAGCACCACCAACATTTATGCTCATCAGTCTTTCATCACTCTAATAAGTCTCGAGTGTTTCAAGAACAATCAGACCTAAAAGTTTTTAGGCTAATAGCTAGGTAGCCAACTAACAGTTATCTCCAAACACAACACAGACAAATCATTTGGGCCCTGTAAGAGAAACAAACCCATCAGTTTATATGCTATCCAGAATTGATTTACAGTCAAGTTGGTTTTGATACTATGTTGGAGAAACATTAACTCATGGCTTAAGCTGATAGAAGACAGAAATATTCGAAGATCACATCCCATGGACATGAACTGTTATTAAAACTGTCAAACATAATCCCAGCATTAAGCTTTGCATCCCTGACAACTCTACTGTAATAAAAGACAAACACTCTAAATATATTATCTGTGGGAAACACTGGTGAAACCTCCTCCATGAAACAACTAATCCTTGACATTACCAGGTCTATAATGATTCATGAACTTGAAGAAACCACTGTGGTGAGGAAACTCGAGAGAGCAGAGAGTTTGAAACTAACTTAGCATATCCTTCCATAACCATTTGAACGCAAATACAGAATAAAAGAAACAGATAAGAAAGAGAAGAAGCAAAAAATTTAGAACAAGATTAGGTGATGGTGACAAATGATGTGATAACAGAATTTCAAGGTCTAATGAATATATCACCATAGCAGGAACTAAAACAGGGGGAAATCGGGAGTTATAGAATTTACTCTCTAAAGCTGACTTTGAAGGCAAGCACAGAACCAGTTTTGGACTTGCTGAAGTCTCTACCCTTCTTTCGAACCCGTTCTTCAACCTGAAAAACACAATTAAAAAGGATCACATTCACCACAGTTCCTTCCAGAATTAGCAATGTATTGTAGATAATTAGTTAAGATGACAAAAAAGAATAGAAGTTGTCGGGTTACCCGCTTCCTCATTAGCTCAGGATTGCCAATGCTATCTCCCAAAACTGCCCGGAGCTCAGTATCGTCTTTGCAGGCATTTTCCAGTACTCTGTCTCACATGGATTTTACAGAGGCATATCATCAAACACTTACCAAACATGGGTACATAAGCAAACGAAGTGAAAAGGAATACCTGGCCCAAGCAGGATAGTTGTGCATACGGTCATATTCTCGCTTTGTTTTCTCCTCCCGAATCCTCAGCAGCCTCCTCCCTCTGGCAGTTGTTCCCGAGCCTTTCACATAGCCAGTACTAGCAATATTAGTCGTCAAATTGCTTTCTCCTTCTGCCGCCACCCCGAAACACAAATGAACTGCTTTCTTCCTTTTATTGCTATTTCTAAGAATTGGGTATGATGAAGAAGATGAAGGGATAAGGAGGGATAAATTTTGAGGAAGAAGAAGATGGTGGGTTACGGTTTTAGTTGGATTTATATAGCGATATGCTTTGATTGATATGTTCATTTTGATTTTATCAGTCGCAGAAGCACTGATGTTCCGATGTCGAGGGATGAAGGGATAATCCCAATCTTCCGTAATATCTTCATAGATAAATAACCAATTTGATCCCTAAACTTTTATTTTTGAACCAAATTCGTTCTTAAACTTAATAAAGTGCCAAAAGTATCCTTCAACGTTAATTTTCGATAACCACTTGGTCCTTCTAAAAACGGAAGGGACACATGAGACCTTACACGTTAAAATGCTAGAAACTCATTCACTTTTTTAAAGATTTAAGGTTTGTCTATTCCGTAAATTATAGAGAATAAGAAATAATTATTAATCGATAATTATGTTAAAATCTAAAATTTTAAACTACAAATAGGTTCTAATTTTAATTTTTTTTAAAATGAATGAAAATTTGATATATGATATTTGTAATTAAAACAAAAGTTAATTTTATTATTTTTAAGATAAAAAAATTATTATTATTATACATTGAGTTTATCTAACTTGTGTTATAAAGGTATAAATCAAGGGAGCTTTAGATGTATTTTTCATGCATTAATTTACATAGAAAAATAAAAAATTGATATTAATTTAACATATGTGACACATAGATATTTTTTATTAGATAATTGATAAAATTAATATCAACTTTTAGTTTTACAACTAGGGAGAGAGCGGAAAGGGGGCAGCTGCCCCCTAAGGTTTTCAAAATTTTTAAATATGGTACATTAATTTTATTTTCTACAAAATTTTGTTTTTTGAGGTTTTAAATTATTGGAACCCTTTCAAATATAAAAAAATTAGGATTTAGGTAAAAGAATTATTTCTCTCCTTATGATTAATTTTTAAGATATGATAATTTGGTCTAGGAAAGAAAAATATTAAAAAATAGTTAAAATCTAATTAATTACATTAATATAACTTATATAAGTTTTTACATTAGTTATATATAACTTTTTTATACAATTTATATACTATGAAAATAATGTTAAATTTATTCTATTCATATAAATTATACATTTCAAATTTAAAATTGTTTTGATATAAATAGTCATTTAAAAAAATAAACTATATTTTTATACTATTTATTTAGGGATTTTAAAGTATATATCATTAAAAAATAATTAAATATATCTAATTTTCTTGATAAACTAAATATACCTAATTAATTTAAAATTTTAAATGTATAAATAAGAGATACATACATAAAATAAGTTATCAATATAAAAATTAATATAAATTATGTTAATATGAACTAATACATAACTCAAAACAAATTTTAACATTTTCCCTCGCTCCTAAATTCAATTTTTGGCTCCATCCTCTTTTTTTTTTTTATTAAATAAATTCACAAAAGATCGGATTCGAACCGTTGCTTTGAAAGAAAAGAAATACACTTATATATAACATGTCGTTACTGGATCAAAGGCTCAAGTACCTGGCTCCATCCTGTTTATTATACAAATTAATAATAAAAAAATATATAAATAAATATATTCTTATCTTATGTGTTTAGGATGCAAGCTAAAAAATTAAGACACAACATAAAAAAATCCTTATACAATTATTATTTCTTAGGGCATATTAATGATGCCTAAAAAAACATGTCTTGTTTTGATGATATGGTTCTTTTTATTTTTTTCTTTTTTGATGATATGACATTTTTTTGGACTTTCACGTTACATATTTCTATAATTTTGCAACCGCATTTAATTATTTTAATTAATTAATACACTAAAAAATACAAAATTACCTAAATACCTTATCTTCATCCATCTAACTTTCTCTCAACTCCAGTCATCCATAATCACTCCACGCCATCTTCAACTCTTTCTCTCTCCCTCCTAAAAACTTCCACTGTTTCTCTGCTTTCTCCGATCACCGTCGTATTACCCTTCTTTTCCTCCAGTCACCTCTTCTTCCACTGTTTCCTCTCTTTCATCGTTCATCATCACTGTTTCACTTATTTTTGCTCCTATGATTCTAATCTCAGAAAACATTCATCTCATCCCCGATTCACCTAAATCCTTCGAAACCCATGTGGGTTCTCATCAGGAGAGCCAAATCTGGGTTCTCCATGAGGTCAGATCTTGCGGAAAGAAGGAAAATGGGAACCCAAATCCTTGAGCTCGCGAGATTCCAGGGAGGCACCTAAGGTTAGGTTTCAAAGGGACTATATTTAAGATTGATCAATGGGTTTAAGGTTTGGTGGATTCCTCCCCCTTCTTCCGAAATCCATCAATTCTCTCGTCCCTCATTATTATTGTTGGATTTTCGTTGGATTTTTGAGTGAAAATTTTTGGGTTTTTGCTAGAGTTTTTTTATGGAATCAACAAAAAAAAAAAAGGAAGAAGGGACTGCGAGAGACTATTGGCTAGAGATCTGGGAGAATGTATTTCAGAAATTAGGCCCTAATACTCCTTGCTCTACTGGATTAGATCTGGGAGAATGAGAACCCAAATCAGGTTCTCACCATCCAACCAAAAACAAAGAAGAAAATAGAGAAGGATGAAGGCGAAGGAGAGGAGGTTAGGGACGGACACAGAGTTGGGGAAAAGGAAGAAAATCGAGGAAGAAGAACCAGAAAATTATTTTAATTTTGTCTAGTTTTGTTTAAATTTAGTTTATTATGATTAAATCTATATATATATATATATATAATGCTACCCTATGCATTAAATAGGGTAAGCATTTTATTTATATACATGCCCAGCACAATTCAAATTGTTTCTTTTCATTAGTTATCACAGGATTAATTTTAATTAATTAATAATAAGAATAAACATAGTAATGGTCTTCCTTTCCATCAGTTATTACAGAATTAATTTTAATTAATTAATAATAAGAATAAACATAATAACTGATACACTTGTGAAATGTAGAGTAAGGATCCAGTTTTCTGTCATATACCATTATTGACATCACATAGCATAAAGGCATGAACCTCCCTCCTCTCCTATAAATTCCCCCCTGCCTCCGATTTCTTTCTTCATACAATTCTCTGTTCTCTGCTAATTGCCTTAGCTCAATTCAATATTCAAGAAAAAGAAAAAGGTTTCAGTAAATGAGTGAGGTGAGTTTGCTGCATTCTTCATCTCGTCTTATCTTCCTCTATGAATCTTGAAATTTTCTTGGATTTGGACTTAATTGTTTTATTCGGTATTTGACAAAAAAAAGGAGAAAGCTAAGCCCACCTATGCAGGCAATGGAGATAAAAAAAAGCTGACAAGAAGAAGAAACCCAAGGAGAAAAATGAAGGGAAGAAAGCAGTAGGTGAAAAGAAGGAAAAACATGGCGGAAAGAGAGGAAAGAGGGGAATTTTTGTGGGATTTGTGGGAGTTAAGCTTTAGCTCCAAATTTCGGGGAAAAAAAAAAGTACAATACATTTTTTATAAATCCAGCTCTTTTTTATTTTTAGAGACTAGACAATTAATTGCTTGATCATATATGTTATTGGTAGATATAAATTCATATGATCGATATTTTGTAGTTAAAATCATATTGAATTACAAAATAATAAAATAATAATTATTAGATGAGTATTTTTTATTTTTTAATTTAATATTTAAAAAAATATTTTACAATTTAAATTATTTTTAATTATAAAACA